CTCCCCCCGCACTGACCCCCCCGGTACTACCGACCCCCCCGGTACCGCCCCCCGGTACTACTGACCCCCCGCCCCCCCCCTGCACCGACACCCCTGGTACCGCCCCCCCCCGGTACTACCGGACCCCCCACGCACCGACACCTCTGTACCGTCCTCGCCCTGGTCTACATCGAGATCCTGGGCAGGTACCGACCCCCCCCCCCACTATCTCCTGGTACTGTTCCCCCCCAATACCAGTACCCACCCCTACCACCCTCATAGTGCCCCCCCCCCCCCGGTACCGACTCACCCCTCCTGGTACTGCGTGTCGTGTCCCCCCCCCCCCCAGCCTTCTTAGCGCTAAGGACACACTGTTGACTCATATCTTCTCATCCACCGTAACCCCTAGGTCCTTTTCTGCAGAACTGCTACCTAGCCATTCGGTCCCTAGTCTGTAGCAGTGCATGGGATTCTTCCGTCCTAAGTGCAGGACTCTGCACTTGTCCTTGTTGAACCTCCTCAGATTTCTTTAGGCCCAATCCTCTAATTTGTCTAGGTCCCTCTGTATCCTATCCCTACCCTCCAGCGTATCTACCACTCCTCCCAGTTTAGTGTCATCTGCAAACACTACGGAAGGGGGACTCTGCCTTGAATAAAGGGGGTGCAGATAACAGCTGGATGTCTTTCCCCCCTGCGCCTGACCCTGGCTCTCCCCACAGCTACCTCTGGCTCTTGTCCTGCAGGCATCCCTTCTCAGGCCGGGAGGTGCCCATCTCCAACGGCTCTGGCTTTGTGGTGTCCCCGGATGGCCTTATCGTGACCAATGCCCATGTGGTGGCGAATCGGCGGCGGCTGCGGGTGAAGCTGGCTAGCGGAGAGCTCTACGATGCCGTGGTCCGTGAGGTCGACCAGGTGGCAGATATCGCCACCATCAAAATCAACCCCAAGGTGTGTGGGGAGCCAGGTGCGCAGCCAGGGGCTAGCAGCCTTTTCTTCTTGGCCTCATCAGTCCAGAGGGCAGGGAATTCTCAGCCTGCTGCTGCTGCTGCAATGGCGTTGCGCTGGCTGCCCGCAGGGCATTCCCTGGAGCTGTGCTGACCTGTCTTTCTCTCTCCTCCCAGCAACCTCTGCCCACGCTACCCCTGGGTCGCTCCTCAGAGGTGCGTCAAGGTGAGTTTGTTGTGGCTATGGGCAGCCCTTTTGCTCTGCAAAACACCATCACCTCCGGCATCGTCAGCTCTGCCCAACGCGGCAGCCAGGAGCTGGGCCTGGCCGATTCCAACATGGAGTACATCCAGACCGACGCCGCCATAGATGTAAGGGAAGTGGGGGGCGGGACAGTGGGGGGCTGGGGAGTGGAGTGGGGGGCCTGGCTGAAGTCACCATGTTGTACCTTCAGAAGAATTTTGCTGCTCTTTGGGGTGGATGGGGGAGCCGGGAAAGGGGGCCTGCATGTACGGAGGTTTCGGCAGGTACCTTGTAGGATGAGCTGGAAAGCAGGAAGGGGCGCGAGGCAGGGGATCTGGGTTATTTTCCCCAGGGGCTGTGTTCGCTGCCCGTGTTACTGACCACCCCAGGTTCTCCGGGGTTTGTCTCTGCCCCCCAGTGGGAATGTCGCTGCTGGGGTCTGACTCTCCCCCTCTCTCTCCTGCTGCAGTTTGGGAACTCGGGGGGGCCCCTCGTCAACCTGGTAAGTGCTGCCATTTGGGCGTTAGCCATTTCTGGGAGGGAATGTGGTGCCCGTTTGGGCTGGATGCTCCAGCCCTATCTCATTTGCTCTGTGGGAGGGAGGTGTCCACCTCACGCTGCCAGCAGGGAGGACAGCGATGGGGCAGCTGGGGCCCTTCGTACTCTTCGTACTGCTGACTCTTGGTGGGACGGATGAGGCACCAGCTTGACCCAAGCTGCTCCTCTCCCAGGCCCTGCCCACAGCCCAGGGAGCTCTGACCTGAATGGAGCCACACGCCAAGCTTGGGGGTAACTGGACCGGGTCTGGTACTTATAAGGCACAGAGGAAGGGCTGCATGGCCCCCACAGCCAGTGGGACCCGCTCACTCCCATGAGAGTATCACCACCTGACCCACCCCCAGCCGAGTGTGTGTTGGGAGCAAATTGGTGGAAGCCTGGATGGTCTGGGCTTGAGCCCTGCCTGGCGCCATGTCCCTCTTCTCCTGGCAAGGGGGCAAACTGTGGGGCAGGAGGGATGGCAGTGGGGCAGGCTGGTGCCCTGCTTGGCTTGCATGGTGACTGTCTCCCGGCAGGACGGCGAGGTGATTGGGGTGAACACAATGAAGGTGACCTCGGGTATCTCCTTCGCCATCCCCTCGGACCGGCTGCGGGAATTCTTGCAGAAGGGGGAGCAGCGCAAGAGTGAGTGAGCTGGTGCGGGGGAGATACAGGCAGAGGGAGTGGAGCAGAGCTGGGGGGCGGCGGGGATAGGAGCACCCACTCCAGACTCCTTGTTGGGGCTGTCACTCATCTATCCCTGGCAGAGGACTGGGCCTCAACCTCTTCCCGGCATGTCAGAGTCCAAGGGAAAAGCCTGTCCCCTTGAGGGGTCCTTCCAGGCAGAGACACCATCTCTCTGGGCTGTCCCCAGCTCCCCTCCACTGCAGGCGGGTTCTCCTCTTCTCAGCTATGGTAGCAGGGGGGCTGGAAGGGATGGAGCCAGGCAGAGGTGCCTGAACACAGCTGGGTTCTGGAGAAGGGAGCCGGGGCCCATCTGTCTTCTGAGAAAAGGCAGTGCAGTTCTGTTCTTCAGGCTTTAGCAGCTATGCCCCTAAGTGCAAAGGGGCCAGGGCTCGAGGGCCAGGGAACTCTCCCATCCTGATATGAGGGGACTGAGTGGTAAGAGGCCGTGAGTGCCCACCTGCTCCCTGGCGCCTATGTGGGGCAATAGGAAAGAGACACTCAGCCCATGTTGTCTGGGTGCAACCCCTCCAAGGCTTAACTCACCAGTGAGGAGGATGTTAAACAGCGGCTGCTAGGGAGAACCTCTGTCAAAGCAGCAGGCTGGATAAGTGGCACCCCAGGGCTCCAGAAGGGCTGCTGGGGCCAATACTGAAATGTTGCATTCAGTTCTGGTGCCCACATTTTAAACAGGACATCAAAAAATTGGAGCTGTTAGAGTAGAGCCACAGATGGTTTGAGGGCTGGAGAACATGCTCTGCAGTGAGAGATTTAAGTTAAACAAACTGAGCTCTTTATAAAAGCAATAAATACAGGTGACCTGATTAGTGGCTAGGCACGTGCACAGGGAGCAAATACCGGGCACTAACAGGCTCTTTAATCTAGCGGAGACAGGCAGAACAGGAACCAGGGGCTGGAAGTTGAAGCCAAACAAATTCAGATTTAAAAAAAAAACTCCCAAGGGAAGTGGTGGATTCTCCGTCACTTGATGTCTTTAAATCCAGATGCGATGCCTTTCTGGATGCCTTTGTCAAACACAAAGTAGCAATTAGACAGGCCTAAAAAGAATTTGTAGAGCAACTAGCAAAAGACTCAAAAACAAACAGCAAAAAATGTAAACCCCTCAGAAGCAGGAAGTCTGCCAAACAGTCAGTGGGGCCACTGGACGATCAAAGTGCCAGAGGAGCACTCACGGACGATAAAGCCATTGCAGAACAGCTACATGAACTCTTTGCATTGGCCTGCCCGGCTGAGGATGGGAGGGAGATTCCAACACTTGAGCCGTTCTTTTTAGATGACAAATCTGAGGAACTGTCCCAGATTGAATCATAGACTGTCAGGGTTGGAAGGGACCTCAGGAGGTCATCTAGTCCAACCCCTGCTCAAAGCAGGACCAATCCCCAAAACCCTAAATGTCCCCCTCAAGGATTGAACTCACAACCCTGGGTTTAGCAGGCCAATGCTCAAACCACTGAGCTATCCCTCCCCAATTGAGGTGTCAATAGAGGAGGTTTTGAAACAAACTGATCAATTAAACATTAACAGGACCAGATGGGATTCACGCAAGAGTTCTGAATAAATTGAAATATGAAATTGCAAAACTACTAATTGAGGTATCTAACCTATTGATTATATCAGCTTCTGTACCAGATGATTGGAGGATTGCCAACGTGATACTAATATTTTAAAAAGGCTCCAGAGGTGATCCTGGAATTACAGGCCGGTAAGCCTAACTTCTGTACCAGGCAAACTGGTTGAAACTGTAGTAAAGAACAGAATTATCAGACACAGAGATGAACACAATTTGTTGGGGAAAAGTCACCAGATTTTGTAAAGGGAAATCATGACTCACCAATCTACTAGAATTCTTTGATGGAGTCTTCAAACATGTGGACAAGGGTGATCCAGTGGATATAGTGTACTTGGACTTTCAGAAAGACTTTGACAAGGTCCCTCGCCAAAGGCTCTTAAACAAAGTAAGCTGTCATGGGATAAGAGGGAAGGTCCTCTCATGGATCAGTAACTGGTTAAAAAACAGGAAACAAAGGATAGGAATAAATGGTCAGTTTTCAGAATGGAGAGAGGTAAATAGTGGTCCCTGGATTCTGTACTGGGACCAGTCCTATTCAACATATTCGTAAATGATCTGGAAAAGGGGGTGAACAGTGAGGTGGCAAAGTTTTCAGATGATACAAAATTACCCAAAATAGGTCCAGAGCAGACTGAAGAGTTACAAAGTCAAAATCTCACAAAACTGGGTGACTGTGCAACAAAGTGGCAGATTAAATTCAATGTTGATAAATCAAAGTGATGCACCTTAGAAAACATCATCCCAACTCTACATATACAATGATTAGGTCTAAATTGGCTGTTACCATTCAAGAAAGAGATCTTGAGAGTCACTGTGGATAGTTCTCTGAAAACATTCACTCAATGTGCAGCGGCCGTCAGAAAAGCTAATGATGATAGGAACCATTAGGAAAAGGATAGATAATAAAACAGAAAATATCATAATACCACTATAAAATCCATGGTATGCCCATACCTTGAATACTGCATGCAGTTCTGGTTGCCCCATCTCAAAAATAAAATATTAGAATTGGAAAAGGTACAGAGACGGTCAACGTAGGGGTATGGAACAGCTTCCATATGAGAGATTAAAAAGACTGGGAGTGTTCATTTTAGAAAAGAGAAGATTGAGGGGGATGTGATAGAGGTCTATAAAATCATGAATGGTGTGGAGAAGGGGAATAAGGAAGTGTTATTTAACCGTTGACATAATGCAGAACCAGGAGTCACACAATTAAATTAATTGGCAGCAGGTTTAAAACAAATATAAAGTACCTCCTTCACACAGCACATAGTCAACCTGTGGAACTTGCTACCACTAGATCTTGTGAAGGCCAAAAGTATTACAGGGTTCAGAAAAGAGTTAGTTAAGTTCCTGGAGGATAGGTCCATCAATGGCCATTAGCAGGATGGTCAGGGACACGCAGCCCCTTGCTCTGGGTGTCCCTAGCCTCTGACTGCCTGAAGTTGGGACTGGATGACGAGATGTGTCACTTGCTAATTGTCCTGTTCTGTTCGTTCCCTTTGAAGCGTCTGGCACCAGCCAGTGTCGGAACCCAGGATACTGAGCTCGATGGATCGTTGGTCTGGCTCGGTAGCCCTTCATATGTACAAGCTCTTGGGCTCAATGCAGGGGTTACTGGGTGAAATTCAGTTTCCTGTGATGTACAGGAGGTCAGACTAGATTGATCTGAGGGTCCCTTCTGGCCTTAAACTCTGACTTTGGGTCTCTCTCTGCCTATGGGTTGGCAGGGTGCTCTGTGGCTCTACTCAGGGCCTTGACCAGAATCCGGGCTCTCTACACAAAGGCAGCCCCAGTCTGTGTGTGGTGGGTCCGGATCGCAGAGCAGCTGCAGTTAGGATGTTGGCAATGATCTGGGGTGTCCCTGCTCTCCCAGCCGCTGTTTTCCCCACATGATACTTGCCCTGTATGGGATGGATGCATGGGATGGAAGTGGCAGGCTGCAGCCTGGGGTGGGGCATGGTTTTCTCCTGGGTAAGCAGGTTGAGGAGTGACCCAGCTGGACTGGTCTTGTGCTGTGGAGGGTGAGGGAGGGTGCTCACACAGGTCCCTTCTTGGGCCTCTTAGACCTGGTTCCCTTTCCTCTTGCAGGCTCCTGGTTCGGCAGCACGGAGGTGAAGCGCCGCTACATTGGAATAGTGATGCTAACGCTGACCCCCAGGTATGTGTCCTGGGTCTGGGGCCAGAAGATGCTTCTAGGGCTTTCCTGGGGGCCAGAGTCTCTCAGGAAAACAAGCTGGAGAAGGGAGCGCGTGTGTGTGTGAGACACACTCACACTCTCTCTCTCTGCATTTGGGAAAGCCTTCGTGGGTCCCACCTCACCCCAGGCCAATTAGTTTACTTGTGCTGGCTGAAGTCTAGGGGAGCATCCCTAGGGGCAGGGAGCCCAGCCCTCGCTCTGGCAGATGAGTTCCCAGGGAGATTCAGCCTCCCATCACCCCATTACACCCCCCCCCCAGTATTTGCCATGCCCCAGCCGTCTCTTAGCTGAGCTTTGTTTAACAAAGACAAATGCAAAGTGCTCCACTTAGGAAGGAAAAATCAATTTCACACATACAGAATGGGAAGAGACT